CCGCGCGCCGGCGGCAGTGTGGTGCTGGGCCAGGTGGACAGCCGCCTGGCGCCCTACATCATCGACCTGCAGTCCATGCACCAGTTCCGCCAGGACACGGGTGAGTGAGCCCTGCCCTCGCGGCCCGGCTGGCTCGCTGCCCTGTCGCACGGCCCTGCCTTGCAGCGCCCTACTCGGGCCTTGTCAGCCTGCCCTTCCCTCCCCACTGGACCCCGGCTGCCCTGCGGGGCTGTAGCACCCAGCCCGGTGCCGCACCAGACTGTCTGACCTGGGACTGCCAGATCCTCCTGCAGTCCCGTGCTGGCCTGTCCTGAACTATGCTGCCCCTTCTTATGTTGCCTTGCCCAATCCAGCGTGGTCTTGTCTCACTCTGTGCAGCCCTGCCCTCTCCCCTCCTGCATCTTCTTCCCTGCCCTGCAGGGTATGCCATCGCACCCCTCTCTTCTGTCCCAGGACGGGCTGCGCTGTGCCATAGAGCCGTGCCCTGTCTGGCATTGCACTTCATGGCCTTCCCCTGCCCTGCGTCTCCCTGCACTGTATCATGCTGTCCTGTTCCAGATTGCCTTGCTCAGTCCTGTGTTGTGCTGCCCAGTCCTGGATCACCTGGCACTGCTCCTTGGGGCACTGCCTGGTCCTGTAGTGCAGTCCACACTTCTGTCCTGCCTGTCCTGTTTCACGTAATGCTGCATCCCCTGCCCAACATGTATCACCCTGCTTGTCTTGCCCTGCTCTGCTCCAGGCTGTCCTGTCCTATACCGTGTTGCCAAATCCCAGGCTGCCCTGTACTGCACTGTACCTCCCTGCTTTGTTTCTGATGATCACACTGTGTCCCCAGTGTTCATCCCATATTACCCTTTGCTTCCCCCTGTCCTCCCACATATTGTTGTCCAGGCATATCCTGAATCACACTGCTGTTGTTGTGGCCCAGCCTCTGTGGTCCTCTGCCCCATCCTGCCTCCCATGGGGGGCCCCATCCTCTGCTGTTCTGCCCTGTGGTCTGTTGCTTTGGCCAGCCTCTGGAGTTAGAGGTATATGTGTCCAGAGAGAGGTCCCAGTGGCACTACCTCAGCTGTGGGATATGTTTCCTGAGAGAGTTGGTTGGAACTTGGGCCTCTTGCTCCTCTGTCCCTGTGAGCGTGGGCAAGCAAGAAGCGATAAGTGGCCTGCAGTAGTTCGCTGTGGGTATATAGGCTAGTCCGCAAACAAACAGAGCAAACCCTATGGGAATGTCTACGAGGAAAAGGGCTGGGGACATTTGGGATTGGGTTACTGCTGCTCATCCTATCCCAGACCCTGACAGCAGCCTCCACATCCTGATGGACACTGGAGAAGGAAACCAAACATAACACTAATGCCTGGGTGCTGACATTTAGACTCTGAGGTTATGGTCCCAGCCTGAGCTCTGGGGTGAGATTTGGGTCAAGAACAAGGGGTACTGGCAAAGTTCGGAGGAACCTAGGGCTGAGCTGGCAGGGAGCTGTGGGTCAGGAATGAAGGGCATTGGCAGGGCTATGTGGGGAGCCCCGTGCTGCTCTGGCAGCAATATGTGGGTCAGGAGTGAGAACAGAGCTGCTTGGATTCCCTGGGCGGAGACAGCTGCTGTTTCTGAAGCACATGCACCTGCACTTCCTATAGTGAAGCAGCCCTAATCTGGTGATCAGAGCACTGCTGCCTGTGTTGCAAAGAGCAGGAACATACCCGGGAAAGCCACCAAGCTCCTTCCTTGGAAATCCCTGTGAGCTGGCTGTGAGCAGGGGAAGCCTATTGGATCAGGAGAGGTGGGGGAGGAGATAGCAGGTTAGTCAGCACACCCTGCACACGCTGTTGGCCTAGTACTACAAACCTGGTTGTGGCGCAGGGTTTGCCAGGCTGCAGCTATACCTAGGGCTGGGTGGGTCAAAGAAGGGGATCCATTGGGATTGTGATCAGGGGAGGAGGGGGACAGGAGGCAGCCCTCGGAGATAATGGGAACAGGACTGAGATGGCAGTAGTAAGAGGGACCGGGATGCATGGGCGGCAGGAGGGTTGGAGCTGCAGAATACCCCCTGATAGCAGAGTGGGTCACAGTTTTATAAAAGCCCTTGGCTGGTCCCCTTAATCCTTCGTCTCTTCTACTGCCCCTGAGTCCTGATGCATAGCCCTCTGCTATCCCAACCCTGGGCTTCCCTCACAGTTCTGCCACCACTCCTTAGTCCTAATCTGTTCCATGTAGTACAGATGGCTGCACTGGGACCCCACTTCCCAAATGCACCCAGGGCTCCAGCTCCCTCTGTTTTGCCTGGATTCTGGGTTCTTTCCCCAAACCAAAGTCACCATGCTTAGATCAGCCAGTCAGCACAGAGACAGTGGCTGTGCATCTATTTATCCCCCATGTCTGTCACTGAATGAGACAGAAGTGAACTCTCAGCTCATCTGGGATGCAAACCTCATTCTGACTGGTACTGGGCTGAACAGAGGGATGGACCCATCTGTCTGTCCAGTCTCTGTCAGGTGGATGTTGGTCTTGCAATTGAAAAATCCTGCCCACGTTCAACCAGCTAGAGCATGTGAGCCCTGTTGTCCCAGGGGGCAGTGTCATAGCCCTCTCACCTAGGCCAATAAGGAAGGGTGGTAAGTTTCTGCCCCTGGGATCAGATTTCCCTCCACAGAAGTTTTCTCTCTCATGGTGTAATGGCCAGGGAGTCATTGCCCATCTTCTGTTAGAAAAGGGGGTAGGATAAGTCCAGCGTTCCCTGCCTAGGATGATGTCTGGGGCCCAGAAGGCAGTTGGGGAGAAGATCCATGGGGCTTCTGCAGCACTTTGGACTGGGTACTCATTCCTTGCACTCAGCCTGTGGTCTCCCTTTGGCATGATGTGGCTGATCCAGGAGTGGGATATGCTCAGTGTGCCCCCTTTGCACCCTGAGTGGGTGGAGGGACAGTGTTGCCAACCCATTCTGCCTAGAGGAGATGACGGCCTCTGTCCAAATGCAGAGGCCAGCAAAGGGAGCTGGGCCTATCTGAATCTCTAGCTCCAGAGGGGAAGGATTTGCTTTCTGTGCCCATATAGTTATACACTAGCCAGTCCCTGAAAAAGCCCCCTTCTCTGGAGCTGAGCGTAATGTGGTGCCCAGTAAGATGTCCCTACACACCCTTCTGGGGCTTGCACTAGGGAGTCAGCCTATCCCTGGGATCCAGCTCCTAGTGGCTATGAGGAGGGGAGTGGGGAATTGTGTTTGGGAATGTCCTGCTCTGGGGACTTCTTTAGGTGGATGGGGGGGATGGGCAGCAAACAGCGCCCCCTTACTCCATACATACACACACAGGCACGCACACATACCGCCCTCCCCAGCAGCTGGACTGAATGGAGAATTGTTCTGCTTCTCCCTGGGGTTGCTGTGGGTGTTGTTATTTTGGGTTATTAAGGGGCTCTGATGTGGGGGGGGGGGGGGGGGGGGC